TTACCATAAAGTGGAGTACCTTATTAGTTATACTCATTACGGTTGTTGGGGACACTTTAAATGTAGTTCCTATGCTTAACAAAGTATCCTGTGTAGCCATATACCACAAGAATATTAAAATATGGCCATATAAACTCACTAGATGATATCCACCTGTATACGGTTTTGCTAATTTCTTTTTTCATCATTTCTCTTGAATCAATAAATGTTTTCTTTGACATGCGGAAACATTTAGAGAATTGAAAGTTATCATAGCTACAAAGCCATGGTTCCATTATTAAAAAAAAATCTGAAAAAAACATTTCTCCCATGAATATTATGAAAGGTTTCTTATTTAAACTTTCCATATACAGTTGTAGACGAAAAAGCACCGATTATTAAGTGATAATAAAAATAATCAGAGATTATATACGCGCTTTTCTAAAATAAACAACTTGCAACAAAACCGCGGTTAAAACCAACGCGTTCAAGCGATTCGTGTACCTGACGTCATCAACCCGTGTGTCATCTTGAACCATATTATAACCGCGGCACATAACACAGAAATTTTGGTTATTCGCTTGGATTTGATTATAGTTTTTAATTATGATTTCAAAACTGTATTTTACGTCATATATTGACATTGCCAAACCTTCGTTATTTCAAAAAAACAGAATTTCTTAGATAGGCCTTGAAATTATCAGATAGTCATTTGTTTCATATACCACATATATCTCAAAATCACTTTTATTTTTTCCTAGCCGTATTTGAGATGGGATTTCGAAATAAATTACATGTTGTCATTGTTACTAATTCTCCTCTACAAGATGGCGCAGCCAAATTTTCAATTCGATATTTCTACTTTCGACTTCAATCATTAACTTTGTTCGCTTTTTCACATGGAACGCTATATTGGAATTTTTGTAAATACAAATAGACTTTCCAGTCCTAAATTCAGTGATGTATTTCCTTAGTTTGTTCTTGAAAATTATAAGGAAATAAAAAGGTATGAAGAAACCTAAACACAAAATGCAAATTATATTGATGGTAATAACACAATAGTAATAATAATAATAATAATAATAATAATAATAAATAAGCAGAGGTAACTCATAGCAGATGTTCTAAATGTTGTCCGTTATTTTGTCGGCAAAGCCTGAGTCTTCTCTGCTTCTCTGCTTGATTTATTTCTCTTCCTATAAGTCTTCCAAACTCTGATGCTATGTTCAATTTGAGGTCGGGTCTGGTATACGAAACAAATGACTATCTGATAATTGTAAGCCCTACCTAGGAAATCCTTTTTTTTAATAAACTAAGGTTTGACAATGTCAATGTATGACGTGTTATACATATTTGTTATCAGAATTGAAAACTCTATTCACCCATACAAAAATCCAATATGACGTCTATAAAAAAAATAAAGTTGATCCTGCAGGACAATACACGAAACGTCATATTGAAATTCTAGTTAAGCCGTGTTGTAGAGGAGAAAAAGTGGCTATGTTAATGTGCCATTTATTTTGAAATCCCACTACAAAGTCAGGCATAAATTAAAACGATTGGAAAAATTCTGTTTCTCTCTCTCTCTCTCTCTCTCTCTCTACGGAAGTACTTTGAATTTTCGATTTTTTATTGAGCTCACCACAAGAATGTCATAAATAATTGTTTACCTCAAACAATTAAAAAGTAGTATTCTAGACTATTGAAAAAATTATTAACTAATTTTTTCATTTACTTGGAGCTTCTCGGGTCCATAATTTTAGATTTTTCGGCGTAATATCAGTGCGAGAAGTTAAGGTGACCAGGCCAGCTAAGAGCAGTTTTGCCAGTCGTGTTGCTACCGACGTCCTCCACCACATAGGCATCCCATCGTCACTCAGTACTCACCATGCTATCAGCACTGACGTGCTATGCAAAATTTGCATAAACACTGGCTAAATAGGATCTGTTTGTTTTCCGCCTCTGCAATCGTAATCAACCGTATACGTTTCATGCTTTTCAGGACTATTAGTACGGTATAGGTCTAGTCATTTTGGAGACAGATGACGGAAAGAAACAAGCGTTATGGCTTTGCTGATGTGCCAAAAACAACAACGTTGTATTCGGTTGGTTATCGTCGCAGAGGCGGAAAGTAAACAGATCCTATTCAGTATGTGCTTAGTTTATGCAACTTTTGCGTAGGACGCCAATGCTGATGGCATGGTGGGTACCTAGTACTCACCTGAGTAACGATGGGACGCCTATCTGGTGGACGACCGTGTTTAGATTCTTAGAGGCAATCACTGGCCATATTTATTCCGTGGGTAGCTAACCAAAGGACCATTCTATTCCGTGCGTTAACACCGCATCTTTTCACGAGATGGGGCAGCACCTGCCTTATTAAGCTCTGCGCTAAGCTAAACCTTCAACGCAACAATAATGACCATGTTTGTACCGTGATCCCTAGTACTGCTCTAAGCCCTTGTATAGCGCATAGTATAAATAAGCTATCTCTTAACATAGAGTGGTGTAACATGCGGGATACCACAGGCCTGTTGCTAACTACCCACACTGTCTGTAAACATGGCCACAGTCATTCGGAGATTTAGAGGAACTGGTACCTTACATAGTTATCGATAGTACCGCGATTAGTGAAACTATTCACAGGTGGCAGTATCACCTTCATTTCTGGAACATCGTAGTACACCCATATTCGCAAGTTGCTCTCACTGTCTCCAAATGGTTAGACCTATACCGTACTGATGATTGCTTGCTAAAAAGCATGAAAAAACATTGTATACGGCTCGTTATCGTCGCAAGAAATAATAGAATTCGTTAAGCCTGCTTTAGTTTATTACAACACTATATCGTAATTTATTGATATTCTCGAACCTATTTCCTTTTCCTCAAACTCCTCCCCTTAGTTAGTTTCTATTTTATATTCCGACACGTGTTAAGGACGCAAAGGGCATGAACCATGCTGTCTTTGGAAATGGTACCAACTTCGGGGCGCTGCAGTACCTGAAGCCCCAGCAGGGGGGAGGAAAAGGCTTACCGGACGTCATTCAACATGGAAGGTCAGCGGGGATGCCCCTCTACGTGCGGTGTCCCATCTGCCAGAAGGAGTTCAAGCAGAAATCTACGTTATTGCAGCATGGTAAGCATTATATATTATAACAAATAAATACAAAATTATGGAGTTAAGTAGATTAAGTAATTTCCCTTGCATTGATATAAACCTAAATAAGTGAAATGTGTATGAGACACCAGAACATTTTAGCCCCCTAAAATATATTGACTACTCCCGTAAGTGGCTAGAATAATTAGAAATATTGGAAAATGAATTTTGAGATTATGTACATAATTTTGGAAATCCAAAACAGTTTTATAACAACACCCAAAAATTATAAGAAACTGAAAGGCATCGAAAAATTTGAGGACGTCCTGAAATGTTTCGCTTACCTATCGCTCATGTATCCACTGCACTGAACCGATTTCCAAAACCAAAAATGCTGTTTCGTCCATCGCCGTGTAAAAAAAATCGTTGAAACTAGAATGATATCTACTTTTCTTGTCATAAGGGGGTATTGTTAGTCTTTTAATTATTGACTTGGTCAGCTCTCAAAAATGTCGCCAGAAACATTTTGTCAAGAGTTTATCAAAATCCGAATGACACTTTCTCATTCAAATAATTCAAGAATTATTAGTATTTTATGGTTTTTCTCAAAACCTGCAGCTTTCTGAAAAAATTCCATCAAAACTGAAGTGATACATTTTGAGTTACAAAATTTTGAAATCGTTATTCACTGTTGAGCTGATCTGATCCTTCGGATATCTCTACTCGGACGCTTGGTTTTCGCTTACTGCATGGTAGTACTGACATATTAACGATATTACCATAATAATGTAGTATTTTTAAACGAAATCCATGCATCGGATCGAGAGAAATCAAGCGATAAGATTTGCTTAGAAAAGATTCGAGATTCCAAGAATAATTTTTATTTAAAGATAAAACGTTAAATAAGGCATCTTGATACACAGTAGGTGTATGTAAAATATCATTAAAATATCTGAAGTGGAATTACAGATATTATTAGTGAAAGGTTTATTTTTCAAGACTTTACCACCCTGTATCAATTTAAGACGTTTAGAGCATCGTTTCTTATTAAAATGGACCCAAAAATCGCTCACTCAAATGTTAGCATTCAATTAGGAAACACCCTGTAAAGGGTTTAGTTCAATATATATAGAGTTCATTATCTTCTCACTTTTGTTGATCTGTCAATAACTTTACACCCTTGCGAATTCAGAATTTTCGCGAAGCTGAACCACAACGAAGCATGAGTTTGAAAAAATAGTAGGTGCCTTGGCAAGTTCCAAAATGTATCTCCCTCCTGCGACGGCAATGTTTTAACTACACCCTGAAGCAATCCAAATTTTGAAAACCAAGGGAAACAAGTATAGGACATTTTTCAAGATATTAACCCTCAAATAATCTTTTTCACCGCAAACTTGTAAGTTGCAAAACATACAATAACGAAGTTTGAAAACAGTCTTTTGTATTTTTTGCTCATAACAAGCAGCACTTTCCAAGTTATAGACGGGCCAAGGATTAGCAAACAAACCGACATACAGACCAACAGATAAACCGTCAGATAAACCGACAGGCAAACCTACGAAAATGAGGTTTATGACCTTTTATGATCATCATAGAACATCAAAAAAACATACGAGTAATATCTCAGTTTCGAAATTTTGTCGCGGTTACAATACGTCCTCGCCAGTGGCGTAGGAACCAAAACGAAAATGAAGAAGAAATGAAGATAATACAAAAACAACAAAATTAAAAAGACATAATCGTTACAACAGCTGAACTTCTCTAAAAACTTACAGCCATTAAAATTGGAACTTCTGGTGTAACAGATTGGTGCATATTCTACCAAACCAGCGAGCTACAGGTATATCCGCTGACCTAATTGGATTAAAGTATGTTATATTCTATAAAAATGATATTTGAAAACCTTCAGGTTGTATTCACATCGAATCGAGGCCGTACCCGTGTCCCGAATGTGGCAAGCGGTTTCGACAGCAGTCCCACCTGACTCAACACCTGCGGATCCACACGAACGAAAAACCATATGGCTGCGTGTACTGCGGAAGGAACTTCAGACAGCGGACGATACTGAACCAGCACTTAAGGATACATACCGGGGAGAAGCCTTACAAATGTGCGCAATGCGGGAAAGACTTCAGGTAATTAGAGTGTAATCATTCATTGCAGTTTTGTCTACCCACACTGTTATCTTATGAGCTTGAAAATACCGGGTCTATAGTTCCCATCGTACCCATCGGGGCTGTTAGCACATCAAGCTGCTAGCACACCGACTCGAAAGCTCGCGGGTTCGAATACCGGCCACGAAAGTTACATTTCGAGTCATGGATGCTGTGTTTGTCTATATAGGTATCTCGTACATAATGTACGCATCAGATCGGTGCAAGATCAAATAAGTCTAACGCATCGCTGGATTCAATAATTAATTACCAGTAGAGAATCAGTACAGTGTTGGTACATCAGGTTCGGCAAAAAGGGCCGAAGATGGCCTAGTTGAAAGGCTTCACCTCCACAATACTACTACCGCCTTCTGTAGGCTGCTAATAATAATATAATTATTAGATCCTACCATCTCAGCAAGATTTATGAGGAACTAGCTTTGATTTCTCATAAGTTGCTGTTAGATCTGATCATAAGGTTGAGTAGTGCCCACAGAGCGAAGGGAACTTGCAGAAGTATTTGCGGCCATAGTTAATAAGCTCACAACTGCTGACAACTTTTCAAAAACGTCAAGTCGTAAATCAAGCCCATATGCTTGTCTATTACCTGCAGTTCTATTTGTGGTGTACTCATCAGCAAGTTCAGGGCCGCAGAGCTATCAGATTCTGACTTCGCAGGAGTATCCTCCATTGTCCATACAATTACAACTGTGCGCCAAAATGAAAGTAAGGCACACCGCTATCTCGACCTTTCCCGATAGTCAAGCTGCACTTTAAGACATTGAGTTGACTCACTGCTCCTAATTCACTGTGAAATATGTAATTGCAAAGTTAGCTCTTGGACTTAAAGGTCATGGTATATAAACATTAATGCCAGAACATCATACAAGAGATGAATAGTAAAATATACCAATAAATAATGGAAGGGGTAATGCTAAGGCATTTATATCGAATCTAATGAAAATGTAGCAGATTCAGTGTTAGAAGCAGAATGTCCTTCAATGAGCAGAAAGGCGTAAAATCTGCTTAGTTCCGCAATGCTGCAAGCAGAGGATCTGAAAGACACATCCTCCACTATCTAGCAAGGCAACCAATTTACTCATAGAAGTGAAGTTGTTAGATGAAATGCCGACGTGAGTCACAGAAGACCTAACATAATAACTCCCAAATTAGTGGCAGCATCAGATAGGTGTCAGTTAAGTATGAGAAATGCTGTTTTTGTTATTGAAACAACCATTGAGATACTTGGACATAACACTGACAGGTTTTAAAAAAGCAAAAATTCTAAGAATTCGTACTGAAAAGCGAAAGGAGAGCGCAGAACCTATAAAGCTTGATTTCCAAAGAGAGGTACCGGATACTGTAACTCTCCACTGGGTTGGAAAATTGTTGCCACCTTTAAATACACGCGAGTCTAAAGGAGAAGGTTTACTGATTGTTATAACGTATGAAAATAAAGAGCAACTTATCGCTGTGTCCAAATTGGACAACTCTTCATGCAGCGAGCAAGGTCAGGCAGTTTGGGATGCTATTGTTGACTGGAATCTTGAAAATAAAGTTCAGATTCTCCTTTGTGATACTACTGCTTCAAATACGTGTCGCATTAACGGTGCCTGCGCGCTTCTTAAACAGAACCTAAATAAAAAAATGCTTATTTTTGCTTGCCGCCAACACGTCAACGAATTAGTGTTAAAAGGCATGTTTGAATCGAAGATCGACCAAGTGACTACAAGCCCTGACATTCCAATGTTTAAAAAATTTCGCGAGAGCTGGAAAAGTATGAGTCCCGAAAAAATACATCAGCAAGTCCTTGTTCAGTCGACTCAAAATTGATGACAGTTTTCGCGACGAGTGATCAACTTCATGACCTCATAATGATTCTTTTCAACACGCTAAGAGTAAGGTGTAAACACTGAAAGCAGTTAACGATACGACAGAAAGAGCAGTCAAGTTAATGCAAGACTTCCATGGCTTAATCACTGCTGATTAGGAACAAAAAACAATTTTTATTACGTTGCGCATAAGAACTTAGGGTGGTATATCCTGACTGTAAAAAGAGAAATTTTAAAAGAAAATAAAAAAAATAAAAATATAAATAATGTTCTTTTAATGATAAATATCTTCTTGTCGAGTAAGAATCAGGTTTTGAAATCCATACATAGTTTCCCTATTAACTTGCAAATTCAAAGTTTGACCGAAAGTCGCTATAGATATGAGGTATCCCATTTATCGTGAAACAAACATATTCTGCCAATTTTGGGCACTTTTGGTAACCAAACAAAGTAAACAATGAATCATAAGAATGAAAGGTGACAAAACTCTTATTCCTAAGGTTTTCAGAACGGGAAAAAAGTGCACTTTTGACGACGAAGGGTTACTTACTACAATTGCGAACGCTGAAACGGTTACAGAGTAGTACAAAGTTCACTCTGTAACAATTTACGAACGCAGCTCTGTTAGGAATAGTGAGTCTGTCGACATACAATACCGCGTTAGAATTAATTTACGGATTATCGGTCCCCGATCGCAATAATATTTATTTTTTGAGTTGTTAGGGTCAAATGGAAAAAATCGAGGGTATGCGTATCTCAATTCGAACAAAAATGTGTTTGCCCTCATAGGCTGGGACACCCTAATATTCTCCACTCACTACAATTGTAACCTAACTTATCATCTTAAAAATCAAGATATTATATTTTTTCTGGTATGAATATCTGTTTCTTATTCAAGGCAAAAAGCAATTTTGGACCAACATACGAGAACTCATCAGGGAGACCGCCCCTTCTGTTGCCCGATGCCAAACTGCCGACGAAGGTTCGCCACTGAACCAGAGGTGAAGAAACACATCGATAATCACATGAACCCTCATGCGGCAAAGACGCGACGGGATTCAACGGGCAGCTCAGAAGGAAAGCTAGGTAAGAGTGGATAAAACGATCCATTAACTTCATAGTTAAACGTGCGCAGCTATCTGAACTGAAGCCGTCACGATGGCCAGATACTGTGACAATAACAACTATCGGTGAGTCAGGTGATATGAATGTTAAATTAAGATTAGTAGGTTCAGGTGAAGATTCCCTTTTCCGAATCATTCCACAATCTCAATACCTTAACAACAAACGAACGCAGCAGGCTTATGAAGCAGCGGCACAACAAGAGATAATCAATCCTACGTGTCCCTACCTCAAGGGCGTCCATGCAGAATATTCACTACGGCACTCTCTGTAAGGCGCATTTCGACCAGGTCCATATCGTTCAATTTAAGTCTAAACAAAAAGGTTATGATTGATTTGTAGCACTTTCCCGCTTACAGACAACAGTGATGGCATCACCAATGTTATTTTTGAAAAAGTATCACACCAAATTTTTGTGGCTGCCTACCATCTCAGGTTGTTCTTTAACTGGGTGTGTGAAGCCGTAGCCGACGGTTAGCCAAGTCAAATTCCATACAAACTGACATATATGCATATTTCAAGGTGAAAAAGAATTTCATTGATAACTTTTCAACGTCAATATACTGGTAATTAGCTCCACGACGTAAAACGCAGCTAATTTTACCCTATATATGTCCACACAAAAAAGAGTGCTCTTGGTTCAATTTAGGATCGTGACTTTGATACATTTCTGAGATATACGATGAGGTTCAAATTTGGCTGGCGACGTAATGTGTATGAGAGAGAAGCGCGAGAAGCGTGCAATATGTACGTTAGAAAGAGAGCGCCAATGGCATCCGTGACCTCGTATTCGGGTTGCTAAGCAACGAGGTGCTCTTTCTAAAACACGTATCTCGCGATTATCTCTCGTACACATTACGACCTCAGTGGTATTTGGTTTCCAGTGTATTTCTTTGAACTAACGTCAATTTCTTCATTCTAAGAGCTATACTTCTTTGAAACAATGAAATTACTTCATTCCAAGTACCTGTGAGCGCTAATCAATGCCATAATTTCATAGAAACTCTAGCTCTTGAGCCAATAACATTCATCATTTTTGTGTGTATAATATGTGAAAATCAATGACAAATTGGACATTTCGATATAAATAGTAAAAAAACTATAGTAGATACGAATAAGCCTGCGATTTATATCCGTTATTTGTGCTAAATTAATGAAATCGTCGTTCTAAAATTATATTCTTAAAAAATGCGAACAACCCGACTGCAAAGAAAACAATTGTGATAGATGAATCTAGGGACACCTTAAATGTGATACTACATCAGGCTGTTTAGGCTATAACCCATGCAATAGAGATTTTTTGAACTTTGCATTTAAGATCTGCCATTTCAATTTTATAAAATTTTAGTACTCTGCGTGTCACTCGCAGTGCCAAGAAAAATCTAGAGACATCTCATATGTCAAAATCCATCAGCTGTATCCTGTTAAATATGAATTTCAATGTTGAAATTCATTATTGGAATCGGCCATTTTGTTTTCATAAAATTTGTGTCACTCTCATTGCTGAGATGATTCCAGCAGCATCTCATATGTAAAAATCTATCAAACTGCTTGGCATGTACCCCGTATAGTAGGAACTTCAATGTCGATTTTTTTCATTAAACTCCGCAATTTAGTTTTTATAAAATTTTACTATACGCATTGTCACTAGCACTGTCAAGACAAATCTGGAGACACCTCTTATGTCAAAATCCATCAACCCGTCCAAGCTATAGCCCGTGAAATAGGAATTTCAAAGTTATTTTTTTTTTGTTAAGTGTCCTTATAAAATACAGCCAGTGTCACTCGCACTGCTTAGACGAATTCAAAAATGCATCTAGTCCCGTGAGGCAGTCCGGTAAGAAACACTATAGTTTTTGTTTGCAGTTTGTCTTAGAACAAAATTGTATCTATCTCGAAAAATGGATACCTGGTTGAATAATTCTTCACAAATAGTCGCTTAAACAATAATCCCTTAGTTAATTATTTTAATAACTAGTCCAAATAAACGTACAAAATTTCTCACAAATCTTGTTCATTTCGAGCCTCTTAG